ACAAACTGATGGTCAACCCTGTCTGTAAAATTTGTAAAACAACCATGCAGTCACAGATATGAGTTTGAAGTAAAGATATGTGTTTATTTTTGTAGTTAGATGTGTTCTATAGTTGAGTTGTTAATCTAAATGAAATAAATCTTAAGAACCCTTTGTGATAATCTCGTATTTAAAATACTTACAACGTAATATTATACTTAATTTATAGTATATATACTCATTCTTGTCACGTTTATTATTATATAAAAGGGAATCTTGAGAGTATGCTCGATAATTTTAAACTGAGGCTGGCTACTGATTAATACCTTATTGCTAGACCAATTCAACACTTGTGTAAGGGGCTAAATGTTGTGAAACATGTTCATTTAGATTCATTTTATCATAACGATTTCTGCATCTTTACTGAATATCCCAAACAATGCGTATCTATTGTTTTTTTTTTTCGCAAGCATATCCTTTAGTGAAATGATTTTTTATATAAAATGATATTAGTCTTAACATTAGGACATCTTACTGGGACTGAAATCAAGTGATTTTAAGTCATTATGAACAAAAACAATATCTCGCTATTATATCAGGTGATTTAAACAAATGAGAAGGAACTCTCCCGTATGTGTCTTTGTTTTTATTTTCAGAGCGGAAAACAAATAACTGGAATTATTGCAATATTTAAGTAAAAGATTAATTCATTGTAGGGGATTATAGATCAGTCAAAATAATGACGCGCAGTTTCAAGTTAAAAATCTCATATTTTCAAAGTGAATTCAAAACAAAAGCAATTTTAATGAATACGCCGTTAAATAGCTTTGATCACTTTGGCAAATACGGTAAATAATTCACTTGCGTCCACGCAATTTTTTCCATGATAAAACTCAAATCAAAATAGCAGGGGGTTAGAAATGATATTTTGTTTTATTTCAAATAAAGAGAAAACACAATGCCTCTAGTACAGATCTATTCAACAAAGTATTAGAAATAAATACATAATGGATGAAATACATTTACTTTATAAACTCTCCTTTCTAGATTAATGCTGGTTTGCCCAACAGTGTGTACAGAGTGTCTGAAATTAATGAAATAGTACTGATGAATGAGACTTCGTTCATAGGAATTCAATGATATTTTCTTCTCTTAAAAAGCCCAGGTGGCACATTGGTTAGACTGTCTGCTCTAAGAATCGCAGAGTATACTTAGATCCTTACATCGTGGGTTCGAAGAATTCCACTGTGAGACGTGGAGATCGGTCTTTCGGATTAGACTGTATAAACCGAAGTCCTGTGTCACAGTAGGTGCTTGCACGAAAAAGATCCCTCCCTGCTCGATGACCCTGAGTGCCGAGTATAGGACAAAATGTACAGCTCTCCACCGGCAAGTGGTGGTGTCTCCATATGGGTGAAAAATTATCGAGAGGGACGTTAAACAATACACAATCAATCAATCAATTCTCTTAAAAAATTCAAATGATGCATGTTTTGTAATCAAGAAAACTGTTAATTAATTATACAGGTTAATCAAGTTAATATGTTCCTCCTCTGTAATTATGTCACCTTCTCATAGAAAACGACCGAGTAATGAATTAATCATAAAAAAGACTCAGTCCATCAACATGTTACAGAAAACGACTCAGTCCGTCATCAGTGTATAGAAAACGACTTGGTCTATCATAATGTGATAAGAAAAAAATCATAGTTCTTCATTATTTTATAGGAAAAGACAAGTTTTGTATTGTATTATTATGCATATGATACACAAGTCAGCGTTAGCTTTGTGATAAGTCAAATATAACACAGCATAAAATGGTGGTACTTTTAATCGGTGAAATATAACACATCGTAATTCCTATAGCTTGCTTTATTAATGAAGCAATACACGGAATGCATATTTGCGCTGAATCGTATCAGCAGTGATAAATTATACAGTTAACTGTGTACTGTATTACTTTATAAGTAGCATATTACAAAGTATATGCTTCACAATAAAACTTAGATTCATAATAAGCATGTCAAAACTGTCGCTAGTTTTTCTGTCTAATCATCATCACGGTCCTCTTCAGTGCTTCGAAAGTATCATTAAAGGTAACCCATACTGGATAATTATAACCAATCAGAGCGGACGTTGTATACTGCCCGTTGAGATTTGATTGGTAACAGTCTTTGTGCCACCAGGCTCCGTGGTATTTTGTGGCACAGTCACCGCTACTCCAATCATTATCCTGATCTTTGGTAGAGAATTTCATCCCATTGTGGAAATCAATCAAACTGTCACCTAAAATAGAGTATTGATTACATTAAAGCTAGATGCTTGATAAAACATACAATAATCATTCTAGGGCATTATAGTACTATTGCAGTAAATGAAATTGTGATCAAGAAGAGTTCACAACAATGTCGTATAAATGTAACTTATTGGTTCTATGCTGGGCCAGAGAATATAATAAAATTAACTTCAGAATATGTCACAGAAGTTTCATATTTGAAACTTTTAGATTTTAAGGCTTACTACCAATTTGTATGAAAAACGAAATGATTTAATTTTTTTTTCATCATTAACTATACATAGAAAATTCCTTTATTGAATATCTTTTCGTTATCACCTGCATTTAGTGTTTACATCTTCCGACATTCCATACTCAAGAGCATGATAAGAATATGATAAAATTGTGACCCGAGGAAGGATACTGGCTGATGTTACAGGAATTTAAAACAAGTTCATTTAAAAAAAGCATTGCGTATTTAATATTTTCGTTTAAATGATCTTTTGAGCAAGATACCATATCCTTTGGTCGTATTTTGGCTGAAATATTTCATACAAACTTAGGACTTTTTAAAATTAATAATGGACCTATTAATGTGACTGTAGAATATTCTTCTACTTGCTTAATACCTAAGGCTCACAGCGAGTGCGTCCAATCGACACGGAATACTTACTCTTCAAAGGAACCTTATCCGACTTCAGAAATTCCTAGGGTTGTGTGTTATGTCTTGTTTAAATTCATGTTTTTATATTACATGTATTTATATTTTATAACATCGATCACTTATCTTTTTTTACGTTTTTATGTAGTGAATCTTTTATAACAATAAAAATAAAATGATTACTTTGTTAGAAATTAAACACACTGTTATATATAAACCTTTTGCTTACCCACTGTTCCGTTATATAAAGTTACTTGTTATATCTGTACAATACTCAGTTCTCACCATATAGGCGGATCTAACTTCTTATCCGTTGTCCGTTGTATCAAGTTATTTGTTATATTTCTTCAATACTCAGTTCTCACCATATACTTACCCGCGGTTCCGTTGTACCCAGACACTGTAAGAATATATTTGCTATTTTCATCTCCGATGTAAAATGTGGTGTACACAGCGTAGGCTTGTTCTCCATTATGTCTCTGGAGATCAACTCGAAGTTCCTGGTTTTTATCTTCTGTTAGGGCATTGATTGCGTCATTTCCTTTAAAAAAGTTTTATTTGTATATTAGATAATTGACTTCAAAGATTACTTTCATTTTTCCCCTAATTTTACTGTAAAATCTACTTTCGATGAAAAATAATTATAAGGCTGCACATTCTGTTCTAAAAATGCATGTAAGTTATCAAACCAATTTGTGGCTCGTGAATTTTTCTCCTTGTTAACGTGTGAGTTGTGTAACCGGTATTTTACGGTCTCTGTTTAGGGATTTTTCCGTTTTATCCCCATCATTAAAAGGAGCACACAGCGGGTGTGACCGGTCGGCAAGTAATATACAAACCTCAATGGTATCTGATCTACCTCTCTAAATTAATAGGTCAGCGTCTACTCTGCTTTTGATTGGCTCTGACCTGCTCTACAAATCAAGTAGTTTAATGCTGCAGGGCAAACTGTATACCAGCTTATATCGAATGTATGGAATAAATGAAGAACACGAACAGAATTCAAGCTCAAAAGTCCATTAAAGTATACAAAAAGGTGGGGAGCAAACACGGACCTCCAAAACATCGAGGTGGAATAAGATGACATAAAGGATTTTCATTCCCTGCTGACCTGTCACATCCACCGTGTGCTCCTTGTCATGAATGGAAAGAAACGGGGAAACCGTCGTCAATTCAATATATAATAGTCTAACAATAAGTATGATAAACATCAGTCAGCAATTGACTTTGATAATTTGTATTTAATTTTTACGTTTTTTTTTTTAAATCTTCTTCCGGTAAATTGGAAAAAAGAAGGTTATTCAAAAAGTATATAGACTATTGTCATATTTATATGACAGGGGAAGACACTACAAACTGGTTTGAATGAAAAGTCAGAGTAAGTTTGAGACATTTTTCGTCATTGGTTTTGACATCTCAGTTTTGTTAACCATACTTCGTGATGACAAAACATGTTTGCTTTTAAATTTAGCTAACATCACTTCCATGTAATCGGATGTAATTAAACTTCATCCATTGACAAAATGTTTCTACATATGAAAATGACGATGAGGATGAATACTGTCTACTTATTTTTTGAATGACATTGGTCTTATTTACTTACTAGATAAATAACGCTTATCATAATAGTTTTATTGATTTCAAATTTCTTCCCCGATAACAGTGATAAATGAAACAATGAAAGGCTTGGAATAAACAGAACTATTATTATTTGATGAGAGATTTTATCCTTCTTCTTTTGCTCTTGGTTCTGATCTTGAAAGATACATGGAATAAGTTATTCTCAATAAACTTGAAATGAATTAAAAATCGCTCTAGGAACTGTAAGAAATCGAGAACGCAAAGTAATAATTAAACTTTTCTAATAGACTTAATGACATCAGTCTCTATTATCGTCAGCTTCAAGTTAATATGTAGCAATATTCCATACCATCTGTTTATGTCCTTTTCACAATTGATTCATCATGAACTCTTGATTTTGATAATCTTTCTTTCTTACACAATGAGAGGCTAGTGACAAATAAATTAATAACACATGGTTTACAACATTCTTAGTAGATTTTTAAAATACCATTATTGCACAAGTATTTTACTTCAAAATGATGTTGAGAGCTACGTTCTTCGAACGCCCTACAAGGGAATGTTACGTAAAAAAGGTTAGAAGTGTCTTTTTATTCTATGTCAGAATTAAACTTTGAATGCCGTGTAATAACAACGATTTAAGTGAAATTAAAAAAATCACGCTCGCATTGAATTGTCTGATCGAGATAGGTAGCGTACCTTTTATTCACATTAATTTTAAATCTAAATAATATTTTCAGACAAGGCGGGGAATAAAGAAAAAAGAAGAAGAAAGAAATTATGCAAAGCTTAAGAAAATACCTTGGTCATTAAAAAACTTTATTTTGATTTGGGTCAAATTTTTACTGAGATATTTCATACTAACCAAAAAAGGCAATGTTTTTATGAATAAAATATGAAGAGATGTTTTTAATTGTATGTGTCATATGCAAATGGTGAAAACTTTTCAGATAAGACGTTAAGTAAAATATGGATATAGATAAACATGTACACACACATACCTATCCAGTAGTTCTTAGAGGCGGATCCAAATCCCTGTTTGTATTCTATCCACGTCCTGTAAAAATCAACGTCGCCATCTTCTCGCTTCTGAATCACCTGTGGCGAAAATATGATTAAAATATTGCTCAGCTATATGATATAGAAAAAATATATAGATAAAGAACAGAAATTAAGCTCAGAAGTCCACTGAAGGAAAACAAGTTGGGACAGAAGCGAACATGAACGTGTTCAGATATCTGAGGTTAGGTGAGGTGCTCCATCAATTCTTTATCGTTGAATATTTTAAAGATATTTTGAACATATATCAGGAATGAAAGTTCTACTCACCGTCCACCTACCTGTTTCTGTTGTCATGTCACAGTAGACCTCTCTCCAGTTGTTGTCGATGTATAACAGTGACAATAAAACACACTACTCACCGTCCATCCTCCTCCATCTGTCGTCATGTCACAGTAGACCTCTCTCCGAGTGTCAGGGTAAATTACATACACGCCATCTTGTCCTATCTTGCCTGGGTCTCTTTTCACAATTTCCCAACAGTCTTTGTATATTTTCTCTGTTCAATATAAAGAAGAAACATATGAAGAAATTTGATTTGATTTTTTAAATACAAAGTTATATAAAATAGGTTTTCTGCTTAACTTTTTTTATTCAAATATTATCAAATATATGTCATTTTGAAATATTCTTAATAAGCAGTACATTGCTACTTAACTTAACGTAGCCTTTGTTGATATAAATTGAATAAGCCCATTTTTGTAATTTGATCTCAAATTAAAGATGTTTGTACCTTGCAAGATACTAACACCTGTGCATTACGTTTGCCATTTCTAGACAAGCAGTCGTTGTCTAACTGAACATCTCAACTAGGTGAAGTATACGTAGTCTTTGAGTTAATGTTTTTGTTAATAATTAATTTGTTGAAACATTCAAAGACACATTATTATGCTTGCTTGTTTTCCCCCTGATATGCCTTGTTTAATCGTACATTTGAGCTCAAATACAGTGCATTATATTCATAAATCTTTTTTTTTAACGTTATAACAAATTTATCCAAATCTTTTTAATGCTTATGATTTTATAATCACATTGTATCATTTATAGGACAATTGTTGCAATCTTTAAGTCTAGGCAAAGTATATCGCATCTTTTCTTTCCATTGGTAACATATATTTTGAATAAATAAAGTTTATTGCTGATATTACTCAAAAGTAAGGAAAAAATCATTTATAAGGAATATAAAGAAGTACCGATTTGTTTTTGTTCAACGAGCACACGGCGGGTGTGACCGGTCGGCAGGGGATGCTCACTCCTCCATGGCACCTGATCCCACCTCTGATGTTTCGGAGGTCCGTGTTTGCTCTGCTCTTATTTTGTATATTGTTTAATGGAAGTTGAGATTGAATACTGTTCGTTATCTCCATATCCTTCTTCAATGTTCACTTGATAAAAAGCTAATCTTCTGTTTAACAATCTATTTTCGGCTTTTAGATATACATTGATGTTAATGGTAACTTTTAACAAGTTGTCCAAAACGTACGATCAATAATAGTGTTTTTCTTCTGAACATTAATGTCTTTAACAATATAATATCAGGTTGGAAAAATATTACCTTCTAAAACGGGCACGCAGGAACCACGAACACAGATTTCATCTTCAGCACAGGCATGGTTCTGACAACGGCTTGCAAGCTTAAGATGCTGAAAATTAATCAAAAATCCTGGTTTACTTTAAATGTATAATAATTCATTGCCTTTTTAATATAATTTATTTATATCAAGAATGTTTTTTTAACATTTGACAATATCTAATACCTGTGGAAAATCTTTCAGGTGAACATGAATGTAACCATTCTCCATCATTGGACTGCTCTCTTTCTTAATAGAAAATCTTGTGTTTAGCCGACATATATTTTCCCCTCTACTCCAATCCACGGAACGACACAAGGTAAACTTATAACAAACCATTATGCACATTCCCATGTTAGAATTGGTCAAGGGGTCAAAACCGGGTACTAAGGAACTTTCATAATTGTTAACGATCAAAGTTTTGGGATCGAAGCACTGAGAGCACTCAGAGTAGCATATTTGCAACACAGCAAGGACATGTCCCATTAAATACAGATTAGTCGATTTGAGATAAAATACTGATACCATTGCAATATTTTTTTAGAAAACTAATACGTTGATAAAATTTTATTGTTTCCTTTATTAAACAGGATAATCCGCTTCTCTAGTCTATGTGTACTATTATCTTTAGGATCCTTCTATTTATGATTAATGACTCTCACGTGATTTTTTTTCTCTGATGGTTCAATGAGGAAGTTCAATAATTTTTTTTTCTCATTAATGATTTCGATGAAAGAAAGCCTCGACCTCATATTCAATACAGAAATAAAGAAATTCCTCACATCTAATCATTTTTTATGGAATGAAATATGGAGTTATGTTCATTATACCAAAACTGAAGACGTTTTAAAAACCCGACCTGTCTCCTAAAAGAACAAAGTACAAGAAATGAATTTTAATGTAAAAACTGTCTCTTGCACCGATAAATAAGCAATATTTATTGTTATTTATGGGGAAAGAAATTCTATAAGATAAAAATAACGTCATTTCTAATCAAAATATTTGCTTCCTTAACTTCAGCTAACATTTTTTACTACTGTTAAATGTAAATATTGCATATAAATTAATTACTCTGCATATTTAAATGAAGATGAACAACAAAACCAGCCAAAACTTACCAATACCAACCCCCTTAAAAACAGACTAATAATAAAAAGAAAACATAATATAACAAAGTACAAAAGCTTTAATACTTTGATTTACTATAGTAAAAACTTTGGAACTTTGATTTACTATGGCGAAAAGTTAACTATAGTTTACTATAGTATTTTTTTTATTAGGGTGATTAGGATTTTCTTTTCATATCATTTTAGCGGTCATCTTTTATTTTATATATATTTACATATATATAAAAATCGTTTTGTATAATTAAATGCTAACTAAATAAATACTCAGTTGAAGAGAAGGCAAAAGCAGTCAGATGACAGGTCTGGAAAAGCATCTATGAACCAGGCCAACGGAGATGGGAAAAGAGCACCAGGGCCACAGGTGTCCTTAGGCCTTGGTTCATCTATTGAGGAGGGTGGGTTGTACATAGATGTAAATGTTCAAGGGGTAAAAGCTAAGTTTCTAGTACACACTGGTGCTACTGTTACCCTTGTTTCTGACACATTGTACAAGAAGTTGCCAGCATCTGTGAGACCGAATTTACATGAGGTAAATCAGACCATCATGTCAGCCAAAGGCACTACTCTGTCTGTTCATGGGAAGGCAGAATTTAATATTGACCAGTTGACATACCACAACGAGGCAGTGTTTGCTAACATAAAGGCAGATGGCATATTGGGCCTAGACTTTATGAAAAGAAATCACTGCAAAATCGATGTTAGCAATAAAGTTCTTGATGTCAATGGTCATGATAAGAGAATGACAATTGAAGGTTTACTTGGATGCTTTAGAATTACAGCAGCTAAGTGTGCGTTCCAGAGGGTTCAAGTCTGCCATACTGCGAGAGTATTATTGAACCAGTTGACAAGTACAACAAACAACAGAGCACATTAACTGCTGGAACAGTAGTAACCCCTTAAGAAACTGTGCCAGTTAGACTAATGAATGTTGAACAAGAGTCAAAGGTGGTGCACTCTGGGACAGTAATTGGACAACTTACAACTTGCTGAAATAGACACAGTGTAGGACTCGCTGGTAAATAAGGAATCAGCCACTACCAAAGTGCTACGCAAGAATTTAGCTGATCTACTTCATAAGAGTAAGAACAACATGACTCCTACACAGTTGAAGCGGGCAGAAGACTTTCTGTTAAAATATAGCAGCTTATTTGCAGAAAATAGCTTGGACCTTGGCAGGACTGGAATAGTCAAGCATCATATCGATACAAGTGACAATAGACCTATTGAACAAAGACCACGAAGAGTGCCAGCTCATCTGACAGATGAAGTAGACAATGATATAGATGACATGCTGAGAAAGGTGTCATACAGCCCTCCAACAGTCCATGGTCCTCACCAATAGTGTTGGTCAGGAAGAGAGATTGGACGTACACATTCTGTGTTGACTATCGTCGACTTAACAGTTGCACTATACAAGATGCACACCCATTAAGTAAAAATGACATCTATGTGACTTGGTTTTTCATAAGAAATATTTTATATACAAATGATATAATATTGAACCATTTCTTTTAACAAAAACGTCATTGTCCACGAATTTTTTGGACAACTCTCGCATATAATAACTTTTTTCTACAACTTATCACGATGCTAGTATACTCTGATAAACTAGATATAGGTGTTCACTAAACCTAAGGTATATGGCAGAACATTAAACTTTCCACCTGTCTTAAGGTATTATAGCTAATTTACGTGTCCTTGAGTCGTAATTATAAAGTATACCTAAATTTGGGCGTTCACTAGTCCTGGAGTATATAACGACGTCCACCAGTCCTTAGGTATAACTACATTTCAGTTTCAACTTGTCCTAAGGTTTGACTTGAGGTAGATATCCACTAGTCTTCTGGTATAACTTGATAAATTTTCGCAAGGTCCTAAGGTATTGCTATATCTAGTCGGTATTTGTAGATATAAACGTATCCTTGTTCGATAGAATAAGTAGTCCTGTGATGTATTCTGATCAAGGTGTCACTGATGCACTGATTTTACGTGATATAGCTGCAGCCTAGCCCCATAATTTACAGAGATATATAGACATCGACTTTTCCCTAAACTAAGCTGATTTCCCTTGAATTAATGTAACAGAAATGGTATTATATAAATATGTGTAGCTGTTAATATAATATTATTAAATATTTTATTATAAAAAGTACAATAATTACTTGTTACACCGTAAAACATATTAGATGAAGATATTTAGGACGTACTTGTCCTGTTCAAAAACTCAAGATTCGAATCTAGGCGCCTTCAAAAGTAGTGCATGCAGCGATATATGTTAATACAGAAGTTTGACTTCACAACATAGTGCATTGAAGAGATCGTTAAGGTAAGGCAATAGTTCACTATCATAAGGTAAATAATGGACAAAGATAGTTGTCAGTATCATATTACAATTATAATTAAAGATAGAAATAATGTACAACATAGTTCAATAATGAACAATAAGGCAGTATAATCACAAGTGACAAGATGAGTAGTGAAGCGGTCAATCAGACACAATCAGTCAAGCACATACAAAGTTCGCGGGCGGTAAAAAGAGATGTAAGCAAAAGAATACGCCGATACTGAACAGAGATCAGTCACTGGTAATTATAAACACCTCTAATCAGTTTAATTGGATTACTTTTCAGTATTTACGTAGAAACTTAGAGAATAAAATTTGTAAATAAATTATCGTAAATTGAGGATGTTGTTAAACACGATCGGTAATGCTGCAAGTTTTGTTAACAAAATCCGAGCTAAAATAAGACATAATAAATGTTGCTTAAGCATATTAAATCACTTTATAATCATGTACTATAATTCTGGTGCATTTACATCCAAAAAAAATTATTGTAAAAAATATACAAGTTATCACAAGAAGCAAGGTCTCACATTTTGTATCAAAAATGCTTAAAATTATTATAAAACAAAAGGTTCTATGTGTCACTCTAAACCATGCCTTATGATTAATAATGATAAATTGAATTACTTGATTTAAACATTTTAAATGTAATTGTGCGATAAATTGAAATGAGCTTGCCTTATTGATTTTATATTTTTAAGTCCCATTCGAACATGCCCCATTGATAACAAGCACTTTCTCATTAGCAAAATTTCATTTAAAATTTTTACACTTAAAAGACAATGATATAATCTATTTGACTATACAAGAGATTGTACAAGTTACTTCTTCTTATAATAATGTTGATACTGTGCAGGATCCTTCGGCTTTGGTCTTTAATAAAACTCAGGAGCTATGCTCCCTCGCGTCATAACCACGCGAATAGGATATTTGGTTTGTTTATTGAAGAAAAAGCAAGGTTACCCTTTGAATGGTGAAACCAAGCCCTCCAGCGAGATGGTACTTAGGAACAGTCAATATTCATAAATTTATTATAAAATTTCAGGATTAACGAGATATATTAACTCTAGATTTTGTTTCTAATCATCATTACAGTCTTTTTCATTGCTTCAGATCCCCTCCAGTGCTCCCATACCGGGTAATTCCAATCGAACGCAACTGACTTGGCGTACTCTCCATTAAGATTTGACTTCAGACAGTTGCTGTACCACCAGGCTCCATGCCGCATAACAGCACAGCTACCATCAGTCTTGTAGTCATTGTCTTGGTCCTTGGTACTGAATCTCGAACCACTGTGCCAAGTCAAACTGTCACCTGCAACAGAGTATATTGGTTCTTGTCATTAGCCTGATCTTTATTGGTAAGTTTTATTCCAAGCCAAACTATCACCACTTACAGGGTATCTAGAAAACATTAAAGAAAAATGTTCTTCCAAGTAATGATCACTCTTGAGACCTTTTTGAATATTAATGATACTTGAATGATAGATCAAGAAAAAATCTCTAAAATAAAGATGCATAACGATGGTTTTCATAGTGACGTCATAAGTGATCGACGTGTTCAACATTCAATTTATACCATAGAGGTTTTCAAAAGTAAAACTAAATCGGTCACAAATGTAAATATAAGTAATAAGGTATCAATTTTTGAGTTTTATGGGATGCATGTATGTAAAATGGGTTGGCACATGATCAAATCTTCAAATGACTAAACCGTTTTACATCCCAATAAAACTCAATAGTAATTTCTTAAATAAAGTCAAGACTTGTCATTAGTGCTTTCATTTTCTAAAATAAAATTCCTTTTTGAAAATCTAGGTATTGAAAAACAAGCTTTGAGAAAATGCCATTTTGTAGAAAAGATACGTATTTGACTACCTTCAGCAAAGAATCAAAATGTGAACACAGCCAACGATGCAAAAATTAAAACATGTTTGTTTTTATCCTTCATTGTGTAATTTTATATTTTGAATCAGAAGATTAGCTCTATATGAAATTTTGAAAAAAAAAATACTTCAATTTTAGGCCATTTTCAGAAGAATCTATCGGATAAGGTAAACAATTAGTCATTTTATGACGTCATAAAGTATTGACTAGAGAGAGAATTACGATTATGTTATAAAGATACAAGGTCATCAACAGTCCAAGTGAAAAGTACTGCATTTTAACCTTAACTGAAAAGTTTTGATTTTTCAAAAATTGTCTGGGCCAAAAAAGGCGTAAATGACTCTTGCTTTTGGTGGTACCCGACGAAAGGTCTAGTACAAAGGAATACACTCGAGAAATATGAAATCCGTATCCCCACCAACTCATAAGGTATTAGCAAGGTAATTTTTTTTTTCAATGTTTGCCATCAAATATCTGTACAATATGTACAGTCAATACCGTCACCTGTACAATATGTACAGTTAAATATCTGTACGATACGTTGATCCCACTACATCTGGGCGGATCCCACAACTCACCTGCTGTTCCGCTGTATCCAGACACTGTCAGTGTATATTTATTGTCTTCATCTCCGATGTAAAATGTGGAATACACAGCATAGGCCTGTTCTCCATTATGTCTCTGGAGATCAATTCGGAGTTCTTGGTTTTTATCCTTTGTTAAGGTGTGGATTGCGTCATTTCCTATAGAAATATATTAAACAAAACAATGTTGAACTAGAATGACCAAACGGCACGAACATTTGAATTCATTAAATTTCGGGATGGCCTGTACCCAAAAAGTTTAGAAAAACAAGGATACGGAGATAACGAACGGTATTCAATATCAAAGTCCATAAGATTATACAAAATAGGAGCAGAGCAAACACAGGCCTCCAAAATATCAAAGGTGGGATCATATGCCATGGAGGAGTGAGCTTCCCCTGCTGACCGGTCACACCCGCCGTGTTTTTGTCATAATATTGAAATAACGGAAAAATCTGTCGTCAATTCAGTGTTTAGATAATAAACTAACAATAAGTATGAAAACATCAGTTAGCATTTGACTCAATGATGAATTGTATTTGCTGACAAGGCCATTCTATCAATCAAAGAACTTAATAATAATAATAATAATAATAATTCCTTATTTATAGTAGGTAACCCGATTATTGTAAGCACTAGCCTTCCTCGGGGCCTTCGTTATAGCACATATACAATGTATATATACAATAAATACAAATCACAATATGTTACAAAGAAATAAAACATCAACATTTCAGCATAGAGAGAGAAAAAAATCACATAGAACCATTGCGTTTCATAAACAGAGAATTTTCAACACTTCTTTTAAATATTCTAAGGGATTTGGAATTCCTGATACTAATTGGTAACTCATTCTAGATAATAACCCCTAAAAATTGAAAAGAATTTTTAAATAAGTTAGTTTTATATTTTGGTAATCGAAGTTCGGAGTTTGTTTCTGAGCGTAACGTGCATGATTGAGAACTTTGGAATTCAAAAAGGTTATGCATATAATCCGGAGACATGCCATGGAATATTTTGAACATTAGAATGCTCTTCTGTAAATATAACAATTCATAAGCCGTTAACCAGCCTAAAGTGTTAAATAACGGCATTGAAGGTGCACCATATTTTTCATTTAAAATAATCCTAGCTGCTCGTTTTTGTAATCTGTAGATTCTATCTACGTTCGTTTGAGGACAGTTGCCCAAAATGAAGAGACAAAATAAAATTGATGGTAGAATAAAAGCACCATAAGATAGTTTTCTAGTATGCATTGGAAGAAAGTTTTTAATTTTTCGTTAAGTATATATTTTTTTTGTTTTAAAAACTTCATCTACATGACAAGTATATTGTAGTCTATGATCAATGTGAACACCTCAAAATAATTTGAGCATTTCTACATTTTCAAGGGGATGACAGGAAAATTGTAAATGAAAATTAATATTATGCCATATGATAATAATGCAAATTTAAAACAAAGTTTCCCGCAGCTCTCTTATTTTTCAGACTGAATGAAAAACCAAGATTGAGTACTGTTGTAAACATGTCATTTATTAATGACACATGAAATTTGGGAGATCCTATGACTTTCTACAGTTTGTATGTATACCTTGTTATGGATCTCCCAAAAATCAAAATAACATCATGACAATACTCAAAAAACATAAATATATCAAACATTTAAGCTGAAAAATAAGGTGGCAACAAACAAAAAGCCACATTGAATTGCATTTTTAGAAGAACCCAACCTAGCTGCATGAGTTGCTGCCCCAATACGAAAACTATGACCTTTGTACAAGGTTTGATTCAAACCGATGAGCGTAATACTTGCATTTTAATGTTTTGAAACAAATGACTGTGAAACTTGAGTACCATCAATAAATTTAAAAAGGGTCCCTTTTGAATATTGAAATTCGCGCAGATACTCAAAAAGGGCGAACACAGGACGGAGCTCTTTTACAGACTAGGTCTAGGTAGATGGTGACTGACTGACCAGATTGCATAGTTTTTGTGTGTGACGCAAACTTAAACTTACACTTTTCAATTTCCCTTTCTCAGTTTCAAAATGTATGTCTGACCTTAAAAACACTTGATTCATAGATTGCGGTGTCCTACACATAATTCTCCCAATCTAAAAAACCAAAAAATGCTGTAAGAAATAATGCACTTAAGGATATCCGATCCTCAGCCAGGAAGGATAACACCAAAATTAAAACTAATATTTGATTCGAAATGCTTCTAAAGGAAGCTTGAAGATGAATTTTTTTCAAGCAACAATTTTCATATTATTAATCTTTATAAGATTTAATGTTTTTGAAACTCTTAGAAAAGGTTATATAAAAGTTGACATTTGTACCCTATAAAATAAAAAAAAATTAATACAGTTTTAGAGAAATAACATTTTCTTGAATCCAGCCTTAGATACTAATGATTAGTAGCATGATATGAAATAAGAAGTGATTTGTGGTGTCTTGCAATGATAGCAAAGGCCTTTTTCACTATGTATTAAAGAATACATGACGGAAATAGAAGACAAAAAACACCAAATAAGTATGAAAATCATGACAATTTCTCTGAATGCCTGGATACCTATCGTTTTTTAACCTAAAATATATTTTTTGATCAATTTGCAATTAGAAAATGCATTGCTGATATTCAATTCGCTTTTTCGGCAAAAATATTGGAGATTTGATAAGTTTCCCTATATAACATGATTAACTTTAATTTTTAACTTTAAAGAAATGCTGTAGATAAATTTACATAATTTTGTGGATTCAGAGAGACGTTTATGAGTAGTTTTGGTTTCTTAACTGCTAATTTCATAAACCTGAGGATCGGACTACCTTAAAAGAATTTGTGACTCCAAGTAGAGCTTGTATGACATATAGCTTCTAAAAGTTTTGCAGGAATTCCCCCCGTTATCTGGAGTCTTTAGTCTGTTCCTTGGCATGATTTTTCACCCTCTTTTAACAATAAAGAAGGCCCTACCAGGTACTATTTCCCCACAAACGAAGTTAAGAAGACCTATGGCTGACTGTACTTGAAAAATTTTTTTTATTTGTATATTAGATAATTGACATGCTTAAAAACTTTCATTTTTCATTTTTATTTTATGGGGTTTAAGCCCCGCCGAATTCTGCTGCAAAAACAACTGTCTGAGTATCATATTACAGAAATGAACTTTATCGGTTTTAAAATGTCTAAAAAATATCAAACAAAATCGTGGTTCTTGATTTTTATCCCTTGCCTATGCATGGATTGTGTCTTTCCCTCTGTTTACAGATTTATTTTTCAAGATCATGACATGGAGCACATGGCGGGTCAGAAAGGTCAGTCGGTGATGCTCATTCCTTCAGGGCATCTGATCCAACTCCGATGTTTCAGAGGTCCGTGTTTGCTCTTCTTCTGATTTGCCTTGACCTGCTTAATTTTGTCCAGTAGGGCGAACTGTGTCCATGCAGAGGCTTCGCCTCGCCATGTATGAAATTTACTAGCCAGGTATCATCCCGAACCATTCACTAAAAT